AGGCCTGGTTACTATGGTAGCAAGTAAATGAAATGTCTAAGCTTAAGAAATGGTCAGCAAGAGCAGGAATCAGGTAGACATTACTGAGCTACCTGCCTTGCTGTTTGCTCTCCTTCATGCACAATTCAGTTCGCTGCCCTTGCCTTGTATTTCAGCCCCTTTACAAAGTCGAGGGGGGACAGCACTAGAATGACAAGAATGCCAACAGGAGGTAAGACTCACCCCTGACTTTGATAGCACAGACAAAAGGTTTATAAAGGAAATTCTATTCAGGTCCTGCGTATCTTTTAAATGCCTGTCCAAGGTTTAGCAAAATCTCAGATTTTGAGTTAAGGGAAGCTTTCAAAGATATACGTATTGACAGAATTAGAAACATGGGCTTTAAGCAAGAGAGTCAGATTCGCATACCTTGCTGGAAAACAGACAAACGTGCATCAACCAACCAGGCCACCAAAATGGTGCTTAAATACAAGCTGTGAGAGGAAGACACTTAACAGACTCTTGTACTCTGAAAAGGGGGTCCAAGTATGAAGAAATTACAGGAATAAAAACACCCAGCAAGACTCAGCTACTTCCTAGAAGTGTGACTTTCCTCTATAATCCCACCAGTACTTTTCTTGTTCTACACACATTTTACAAGTGTAATTATTTAGGAGTCTGTCCCTTCCACTAAACTGAGCTTCTTCACAACTGAACTTTAGTCATCTTTATAAGACAATGGAGATGTGAAGAATCTAACACATAGTATGTATTCATAAATGTCTGACAAATCCATAAATCAAAGCATGGAAATGAAACGAGCTAGCTGTATTTAATTCAACTAGAAAGGAGGAATTAATGGAAGTGTAAGAAATAAGATCTTTATTGTAAAGAGGAAAATAGCACCATTTTTTTTAAGGCAAGTGCACAATAAAGCCAGAACATAGCCTGTTAGTCAAAATCTGACACATTGTAAAGGAATTAAGAACAAACAAGGTTAAAGCCAAATAGAAACAAAGGTATATAATGTACCCCTGAACATCTAAAATTTCTTGGGATGAAGTAAAAAAAAAAAAAAACTCAGTGGATGCTCTCTCAACTCCTAAGTGTATGGAGAATGTCACAGAAACAAAACCCAAACAGAGAAGCTACAAAAACTTGAGGGAGCAAACCCTGTATGAGGACAATAGTACTCTACAGGGGGGTCTGTGGTCAGCTGGGAGCAATGAGATTTCAAATCAAACATGGAAAGAGAGCAACTCAAGGAAATGGCAGTCCTCATGTTGTTGCTCAAGTTCCTCTTATAGTCCTGCAGCACTGGATCCAACTTGGAGAATGCATGTGAAAAGGAACCTCAACTACCTCAAAGTAGTCTAGGGAAAAAAACAAAAGACCAAGGTGGTCTGAAATTCTATGCCCTGTGCTGCATACCTGCTGTGGTCTAAATGTGTCAAACTTCACCTACTGGAAACTTCATCACCAAATTCATATGTCAATGGCATTTAGGTGGGGCCTCTGGGAAGTGGACAGGTCACAAGGGCATGGATTAATGGGCTATTTATTGTAGCAGTGGCTTTGTTCTAAAAGCAAGCTTTCTCTGGCTTTTTGCTTTGTCTTGCCATGTGATATGTTCCACCATGTTATTAGCAAAAAGGCCTTCCCCAGATGGGGGAAAATGCAAGGCTCGAACTTTCTGGCCTCTGGAATCATAAGCCAAACAAACCTCTAAACTACTGTCTATAATTTTGTTTTACCGACAAAAAATAATCTAAGGCAGTATACCAAGAAAGGAGAACATTAAGCTTCAGTACGAGTAACTTTATTTCAAATAGGAAAAGATAATAGTTCAGAGGCATAAGCTAGGAGTGAGAGATGGAGTCACCAAGAAAATCTCTGAGTCATAACTTTTTGAAAGTGGAATGAGCATACTTGGGACGAGGTATTGCTAATGTTGTTTTTCTTGTGGATAGTGCTTATATATGTGTCTGCTTCATAAATCAGCTGATTCTCATTATTTGGGAAATCTATATTTACTAGTTTGTCTACTTAATAAATTTTGCGTTTTCTCCAAATACTTGAGAAAAACAAGGCATATCATAAAGAGTCTTTTTGTTGTGTGTGGCCTATTTCGTTCCATGGTTTTTGCATTTGTGTGTTTTCTGTTTAATTTGCTGTTTAAAATGGTCTCTAGCTGTTGTGCCGAATGGCTACCTAGTGATCCTAAACACAAGGATGCAATGTGCCTTAGGGTGAACATGTATTAGATAAGCTTCATGTGGGCAGGAATGGCAGTGCTGCTGACCTTAAGTTCAATGTTAACAAATCAACAAAGTAATTATATTAAACATAATGTCTTTAAGCCTAAATATACACAAAACAAAGTTATGGATTGTTAATCAATGACAAAAACGAGCTCACAGGAACCTGATGCTGACCCTGTATTTGTCCAAGAGGCAATGATGCAGTAATTTGCTAACTCAACGTTCAAGGTAAATTTATAGAACTCAGCCACTACCAATAATGAGTACTACACTATATTTGTGTTGTTTAATGAAATGTGTTAAAATTTTTCAAAATAAAAATACATGAATGTGACAAGCATGGTGATACATGCCTGAAATCCCATCTATTTGGGAGAAGTTCAAGGTCAGCCTGGGCCATTAGCACATGTACTGAGACCTTGTCTGGAAATAAAAAGGGCTAGGAAATTTAACTCAGCAGTACAGTACCTTGGATTAATCTTGGCAGTGGGGAGGAAAGATATTCATTTATTGTACAAAAGAATCATCTGTATAACTTCTAAGAACCCTCACTTTCAATAGCCAACATATGCCTTCAGGGGAGGGCAAGAGGATCTGCAATTTCAACCTTCAAAGACTAATTCAAGAGTGGATACCAGGACTTTCAGGCAAGTTGGAGAATTCCACTTAAGGACCTAATTATGCTTCCCTCAGAAAACGGATTGAAACTACTGAGATGTTTTCAGTTTTATAGACAAAACTTGTATACATTCTAGTGTACAATGTGGTATTCTAATCTACACAGAGATAGTGTGGGATCTTTTTTTTTTTTAAGGTACAATATTATAAGAATGGCAGAAAGAAGGGACAACAGCAATAAAATTTTGGAAGAAATAAAGTAGGTAAAAAAGGCAACATGGGGGAAAAGTCCAAGAATTAAAAACATATGTATACTGCAGAATTCCAAGTATATCTGGCAAAGTTGAAAGGGCACCTAGATCCCTAGATACGTATCTATGAAGTGGCTACCACAGGGGGAAGGTCTCTGAACTGGAGACCACAGGCACAGCACAAAGTGGGGACTCCACATTAAAAAGGGATGAAGAAAAAAAGCATAGTGAATGCTGAGACCTCTATACTCTTTACCCACTTGGCTCTCAAAATATCATCATGAAACTTGTTACATTTCCATAAAGCTTTCTTTGGGGAATCTGACCTAAAGATAACTGCAAGATTTTTCCTATAGCCAGGACAAGAAAGCCAAATATTGGAGCTGACAAGCTCTCCACAACATTCAGAAGATTTTTAGTTCCCCTTATTAAGTATATGCAATCAGGATCAGCATATATCTGAGAAAAATCAAAACGGGGGGGGGCACTGTATGTAGTAAATAATCTAGAAGAAAAAAACTGTCTCTTCAGAGATAAGACACAGCAAACATGACAAAAAAAGGTTTCAAGAATGATTCAGTGAACAAAAAGAGCTTTTAAAATTTAAAACATAATAGAAATTGCTTTAAAATTACCTTTCAACAGAAAGATTGGAAAGTAAGTTTAGAAAAACCCCTAGAATGGGAAAAAAGACAAAAACTAAAAAAACCAATGAAACAAATTATGGCAATCCAAGATGCCCAAGAACTAAACAAAAGTGGTTTCAAAAAAAAGGAGGAAAAATGAGAACCATTATACCAGAACAGAGGTGCCATATTCAGAGAGCTCACTAAGGGCCAGTAGAAAAGAAAAATTAGCAAGATCTATAATTAGAAAATTTCAGAACACAAGGACTAGGAAACTAGAAAAACAGTCTTACTTTTCTCCATTTCCATTATTTTTTTTAGATTCTAGTCCTTGAATTCTGAAGTGCTTTCCCACCAGGACTTCTATATCCAGCCAAACATTTTTAGATATGCCAAAAGAATTATTTTCTTAATGCTAAGGAGCTACAGGATTGAAAAAAGCTTGTTAATATCAGATGTCTCACAGATGGAGAAGGGAAATATGAAAAGAATGAGGGAAGCCAAAAAGAAACCTCTGGTACTGGTTTAGAATTAGAATCATGAGTAGATGGTATCTGTATACCAAAAGGCAAAGTCATGACATCCTTGTAGTAGTGAGCAAACACAGAACCATTCCCTGTGCCTGACCCCACTGGGGCAAGCCTGGAAGATTGTTGTGCTAGAAAATAAGAAGTACTCAAAACAGTGATGAAAACATCACAGAACAAAAAAACTGTGAAGAAAGGGATCCTGCCATTAGCAAAAAGTTGGAAACATATGGCGGGGTGGCTTATAACCCAACTCAATAAAATAATCCAGTTCATACTGGGCAGGAAAAGGCAAAAGAACAAGTTCAATGTGGCCATAATTAAGTTAGTAAATAGCCATTTTGTGTCATCACAGTAGTAAATTAGGCAAGAATTATCAGTGGATGCTGAGGTTCAAGTGTAATGCAGAATACGTTGCTTACAAGCCTCTGATCTTATCTCCTCACAAATTACTTCTTACCAAAGGGAAAAACAACTTAACAGTGAAGAAACCTGACACTACTTTAGCAAGTATCAAAATAAATTTTAACAGTAATTGGACAACATGTCACATGTCCCCTAACATGAAGATTTTAAGGATGTGCCATCATATATGTTGTATTCTTGTCAAAATTGCAGTCTGAATGTAATGAATAAACGGAGTAAGAAACTGAGGTACAAACTCTTCAACTCTGAGATACAGAGCACTGCAAATGTCGGGACAGATGTGTTCATGCTGAAAATACTCAGTCACAAAAATGTCAATTTTTCATTTTATTCAAAGTTGGTACAGAAGTGCTAACATTTCCATAAAATAATTACTATACTTCAGTTACAAGACAAAATACCACAGAAAGGAATGTAATTTGCAAGAAATGTAGTTCACCTTAAGTTTCCAAATACTTCTGAAGGCTAATGCAGCAGCTGGCAAAATAACACACAGTACACAGAGAACAGTGTATTTTACAAAGTCAGTAAGGAAAACTGACAGCTTTTTAGCAGATTTGCTGCTTTTTTTCAATTTTTTTAAACAATAACACTTTTAAAATACATTAAATCAAGGATCATACATGTCTACAATTTTAAAAATCAGATTGTATACAGTAGAAGTTAGAATCATTGTGAATGGTTAAAAATTTTAAATCTGTAATTTTGTTTTCCATTCAATATGGAAGTAACCTGGTTTATACCAAATTCTTTCTGCTGGCAACTAAAACAATGCACAATGAAATGGACTCAATTAGTCAAACTTTAAAGCAAAAAGCTGTGAACAATGGAGGGTAAATTGGAAATCAGTTTACAATAAAAAAAATTCATTAACAAAATTAATATTCATCAACTTCATTATAATAATAACATTTGGTCTACAATTTCTAAACAACTGAAATGACACATGAAAACAATACAACTCCCAGTGTACTGACTGGACTTTTACAAAATATCTGAACAAAGCATAATAGGCAGAACACTGGGAAAAATATTTTGCAATGTAGACATTTTTTTAAAAACACATGAATACTTACATATCAAAATTACTAGATAAAATCAGCAGTATTCTGCTGACATTTGGCTTAAAAACAAAGGAATGAATGAAGCAATTTCACAGGATATTATTAGAAAAGGAATTGGTTTTCTTCTTGAAGAAGACTACTAACTTTTGCACAGCAACTATTTTTGATATCCATCTTATCAAAAAAAAAAAAAAAGCACTGAGAAGCCTAACACAGTTCATACTGTGATTGCCAACACAGGTCTGGACATAGAATATGGGACACCCAAGCAAAGAATGAATGGTAAATCCCCTATCTATTGCTGAACTCTGCTGGCAATCTATAAACTGAAGCAATAATGGCTGGGGGAAAGCAGGGTTACAGATTGCAAACCATTATCTGACACTAATGTAGTATGTCATTATTAAAAAAAATAAAGCTTTTGCATTTTAACAACCCCACAGAAAAAGTCCATGAGCAAAAGATTTGTTGACCTGTTTGCCACTCAGTCTGAGATCTCACAGTGAAATTAGAAAATTCTAACTATACATATTTACACTGCTAGTGCTACTTTTTACCTACGCTAATTAAAAGTTTTCCATGGAATTACAAATCCAAGATATTTCTGCCAAAGGAATTTTCAGAATTCATTTTTTCATAAAGTTCTTATAAACTATGTTAAACTTAAAGGTACAGAATACATAATATATAGGAAGGACTAACACATTGTAACTGCTTTGCATTTTCACATACTGCTAAGCCAAGGATGATCCTCAAACTTCTCTAGTTTGCTGCATTTCTGGGACTCCTCTCCCCTCAGCCCCCAAGCCTAAGGTTTAACATTCTAAAATAATTTCATGGGTAAACACCTACCTTTGTGCTGGAAAGAGGAACCTCCCTTAAAGTGTTCAGGTTATCTAAAACATGTCACATTAGTCTGCACCAGCTATAATCCTCAATCTAGACATATTAAGAGTTGAACAAGCCTGTCCCTAAGAAGATAAATATACAAAATACAGAAAAGTAGGAACAAAGTGGTCACTTCTCTCCTAAGAGCTGATATCTGACATCCAAACAAAATTCAAGATAGAGCTACTTATTCATTCTTGGTAAGCATAGACCATTTGAAAGTAAATGAAGTAAGAAATGGAGTAAGGGAGCTGCTGGGTGGAAGAAATGCATTTTCATCTTTTGCAAGCACATTCAGATTTCCTCTTATCTGATCTTGAGGATGATGGGACAGGTAAAGAAAGACTCCTTCACTCTCAGTACCACTGTGAAAAGCAAAGTAATTCTTTTGACAAATCTGTCTCAGAATCAGTTTGATGCTCAACTTGGATCAAATTCTCTACTAAAATGAAACAAACAAAACACCAAAACAAATAAATGAAGCAGTCAAGCATATGAGAAAATAAAGATTACTTCATCTCTCACACACAAACCTACACAAAAATTCAATCAGTATTTACCCTATAAAAATGTGAACATCTTCATTTTTTTAGAGTATTGTTGATGAAAGGTATTACTTTCACAAGGCAAGATTAAAAAAATAAACTCCAAAGGCTCTACAGCTTAGAGCAAAAGGTTTTATGAGTTCTCACCAAAACCCTAAAAGTCTGTCCTTACTTAGATTGTGGAAATTAGCCCAGACTCTTATCTTTGCTAGTAACCCCCAAATACAGTCACAGTATTCTCGACACTTGTATTCTCTCTCCACCAAAGCAGAACAAACATATTATTACCTTGAATCCCTTATCACTTAGGGCCCACCTGTAACTGAGATGCCTCATTCTCTAGGGATTTCAATACTGTGGTTTCTCATAATAACTCTGAGACAAATACTTGGGGGGTTTATGACTGGCACTTGTCGGTTACTAAGAATACTATAAGTTTTGTGCTTTCTATGTGTGGAGACACACATACTTGGACATGATTTTGTGCTTTCTATGGACTGTTAGTTGTTTCTCTATGATGGAATATGAACTCTTATCCCATGTGTTCTCAGACACACTTATCAAACCTACAAGGCAAAATGATAAAACAGATATATGTAACTAACATTTTAATTATGAATATAAAAGCAAATACAGATAATTAACATTAGGCTGAAACAATTATCAAGCTTTTTTCTTGAACCTAAAGACTGCATGTAAAATATGTAAATATGTGGAATTCACTTTAAATATTTTTCATTGGTTATACCAAAATTTAAGAACAACAAAGAATTTTGTACTAAAAAAAAAAAAGGAAAGGTACCCAGCCATTAGTCAATACTGGCAGCCAGAAAGCACTAACCCAAACACTCAAATTTCAAAAGCAGGTTATACAATGAAATATCTTATCTATTGGCCTTTGTCAGTCTGGTACTTCAGTAACAATAAGCCTTATTTCAATTTTCAATTATCATGAGAAAAAAGTGAGTTACTAATGAACATTCATTCTACTTATAAGTCTAGGCCCATGATGGTGAACCTTTTAGAGCTTTCAATGATACAAACAGCCCACTGGCACATATGCCATAGGTTTGCCAACACTGGTCTAGGCTATACTGATAAAGTGAAAGTTTACCTACTATGTGTAAAAACAGTAAGTAAACATTCCTTTACCCAGCAGCAGTAGGGGACAGAGTGAATTCATTCATCAAGGTATCATCAGGTTGTAAATATCTACTCTCAACTTGAGCTGCTGTGAGAATCACTGCAACATGTATTTCCCTTACTGGTAGTATTCACTGAATGTAACCATCCTGATTGGGGAAGGGGTATTATCTATCACAGGCAACAGCAAAGTGCTTTTCTCCCTGTCTGAGGACAACAAAACCACCGCTCCTTCACAAACAAGAATCTGAGCTCTCTCTATTCAAACATGCTGTTGGGGGTAAACAAATTCAAGTGTTGTCATACATAGTAAGGGTACTGGATCGAATCTACATCCATGGATTTATGGTACTCCCCTGAAAAGTAAAGTGCATGATACAGATTCACCAACCTTTTCTATTCATTTCTGAGTAAAAAGACTACCTGCTAATAGTTTACATTGTTGGTTATCCGATAAATGGGGAACACACCCCAACCTTCTTAAAGGAGTTGAGATAAATACAAATTACATCAATTTCACGTCTTTAAAGGTGCTCAATAGTTTAGTCCCAGGATTAGTAGGGGAGAAGTTTAAAGGAAAACATTCATACAACTAAGTGAATAAATAATGGTGTAAGGATTTAGAACCTTAGCTACTCTCTACTAGAAATCTAAGGAGTTAAGCAGCTACAGTATTCCGACAGAGGACAGACATGATCTTAATGATTAGAGTCTGTACCCAAGATAAATTAACAAATCCAGTAATCTAAAGATTATGTTTTACACAATCCAGCTTCATACCTACCAGTACAAAAGGGTTTCTCTATCTGCCAAGTGACAAGTTTCAATTTTTTATCTTTGATGAGAGAACAAGACCTTTGGGGCATCAAAATAAATTATTGTCTCTCTGCATTTTGATCTATCATCATTTCAAAAGGACTCACAAATTTTCACTATCACTCTCTCCCTAATTTTTGAAAATGGTGTTTTGAGAATAAACACTATTAGTGTTTATTATTAGCCAACACAAATCTGAGAAAATTATTCTCAAGAATTAAGATTTTTAGCCAACAGAAATTTAGTATACTTAAACATAACTATTCAATAAATCATTATTTTGATCTAAGTCCTTAATTTTGGGGCAAAGCAGAAGTTTTCAATTCCAAGACAATATTACTGAAAGTGAAGAAAGCCAAACAAGAAAGAACAGGTAAAGAACAAAGCAAAGTGAGAGGAGACAAAAAGACCAATGTTTGACTGTTAGAAGGATATATACATATACAGCAATGTGTGTCATTTATAAAGTCTGCTTGAGCTAATATAAACAATAAAATAGCTTAAGCACCTTAGCACCTGGCTTATAGCAATCTTATGGACACTGAAGCCCAAAAGTATTTTTCCTACTAAATTATCAGTATCATACATCAGCCATTTTAACCTTTAATGTGTTAATAAATTCGTACTTTATAATACATAAGATTAAATAAGAGTTATCCAGCTGGATCTTACTCCTGGTACCCTCATTTACCTGGAGAGTGATTTAACACGTTCACAACTGGACAAAGCTGGACAAGGTTGGACAGGGCAATACAGAGCTGTAATTTGGGGCTATAATTTGCTGCCAGGCAGCTTTGAGCCATCAGCAGTGGTCAAAGCCAGCGGGAATGTGTTAAACTAGCTAATGTCCAAGACGCTTTGGGTTCTAGAATTAAATAAATATGCTTTTACATCTCCAAATTTTAAGCTAACATTTGTCTTTTACCAACTTGTTCTCATCTCTATCACCCAGGTACTAACCAACATCCTAATAGTTTTTCTAATTTCTTAGAAAACTTTTATCCTGGCAAGGCTCTGGTCTTGTACTTAGCTTCTCTCAACTCAAATACAGGGAATGGCGAGGTGTCACTACTAGATACCCATGTGGTTTCCTTTCTCATCATCATGCCTCAGATAGAGATGGGGAGTAAAGCATAATGGAATTAAGTAAACCTAATACTGACAAATGAGTACACTGAAGGAACTAATCTTAAAGTCAGTGACAGCAAAACCTTTAGCACTTTCATTGATATGAACAACCTGCTGTAACACACATGCCATAGGTTTGCCACCAACCAAACAGGTGATTTACTTGGTGAAAAAGAATGAGACTAACCCACAAGTTACACTAAACGATTTTCAAAGTTGCGGGGGGAAGGGCTGTACACCTTGTATAAGGAATAAAAAGCCATGGGTTGGTAATGTAGAAACAAAGACTCAAAATTTTACTCTAAACAAGACTTCAGGTAAGAGAACTGAGTAATAACTACTCTAGACTTTTGCTCCAGGTAAGAGAAATGAGCAACAACTCTCCCATCCAATTCTTAAAATGGGAAATTTCACAGGGCGATAGGTCCCTGTTAACTTCTAGAGGTAGAATCCCTAAGAGCCAAGGCAATAGGATCCTAGCCAGATTGTACTCAAAAAGACAATGGATCATTTGAGTCACGTGAAAAGGAAGCCTTGGAGATCTGGGATCTATTGAACGTGGGCCAAAAGACACAACACCACTTTTATTGTTTGATGCTCGCTACAGACAAAAATAACTTGCCAGGAAAGAATAGCTAAGGAAGAAAGGTTGGCTCAGCTGGTTAGTCTTTTGAGATGAATAGGAAATAGGCTAAGTCCCACAAAAGAGCCAAGAACCATGCTGCATGCCAGTGTTCTTAAGCCTTTCTCATCCAATCTGGAAGCAAGACTGCCAAAGACAAAAATCTAGGAGCTGGGAAACATTCACAGGTGAAGAGATGGTATATTTTTTCCATCTCTGAAGATTAGTATCCTCACCTCATTTTGACTGCTAGCCACTAGTTTAGTCAATTATCACTCTAGGTCAATTCTGAAACTTAGCTTGAGCAAACATAAAAATATGCACACATTAATGTCTAGAGATCAATGTCTTCAATAAAGTATGAACATTTTTCTAACTTAAAGACAGTCCATGTATCATTCCAAGAACAATCATTCTAATGAAATATAGACTGAAGTAAGTCTCCTGAAATGAAGCTGCCATCAGCAATTCACATACCTATTCAAGCACATTATCTATTAATGGAAAGTCATTAGAATGGCAAGCTTCAGGGACTTTAGTCTAAATAAACTGATGTTTATACTAGCAAGAGTAAACAATTCTACTGGAAATACTAATAGTCATTCCTTATTTACAGACATTAGTTCTCTAAACTTGACCTACTGCTATATATACATCAAGACACAAGATGGATATATTTTATGCATCTTACTAAGACAACAGCAGAGAGAAGGTAGGAGGACACTAGTAATCCAACCTATTAAGACTCAACATTAAATAAAGAGAAAAATCTATATAAATACCTCCTATTCATTTATGCTGTAAAAAGAAGCGTGCCCAGCCAATGTGTCGATTCTCGCTGCTGAGTTACACTGCAGTGTATTTAGAGTCCAAGCAAATGTTAATTCCTACCACTTAATGCCAATTTTGAAAACCTAAGATTCTATTACTTTTCCCAAATGCCAAAAAGTTGTCTTGAAGGAAGAGTATTTGCTTTGGGAAAATAACACAAAGCACTGTCAGACACATACAAACATTGAGTCCAGATTTGGTGACCCGATTTCTGTTTTTCTCAAATACATTTTATAACCATAGACAAGTTATAGCCTTAACTTCCATAAAAAAAGATGGTCCCTATATACTTACCCCTCAAGGTTGTACACCTCATGAGATTGGGGGGAAAAAATCTACAAGGCACTCTAAAGCTCTTCAGAAACATGCTATTCACACATGAATTATTTTTCATCTACCTATTCTGACAAAGCCTCCTGAAGATGGGAAGACATTATGCTCTAATAATTTCTAAAATCAACTTTGGACTAATTAAGTATCATATACAAGTTTATACACTACAAAAAAATCTGAAGTCATTGGGGCTGAGTTTTCAATCAGAATCTACAAAAGTATCTATAAAAAGTAATTTTTCCTAATATATGCTTAATAAAAATCATGCAATTTTAAAAGTATAAGTTTAAAGAAAGTAGATATACAATTAGCTTTCCTCATTTTTCAGAGGACACAGTACAGTGCTGACACAGAATTACATCATCTGTAAAGATTTCCTCTAACATCTTTTGTACCCTGTGCTCAGTAAGGAGAAAGAGCCTGTGAAAAAGATTCCATCCACAGATGATGCAACCGGATACCAAGCCATGTCAAGATGAGGGTCTTATAATTACACATGTCCTGAAATATCCTCCACAAGCATACTACTAAACCCCAAAGTTCTTGTTCATGGCACCTCATGAACATGCTGTCCATCATACAAAAATGACTCTACTGAAAATCTACCAGTGGCAAGCATGCACTCTCGAGTTTTCTGTTACTGATGGCCAATTTGCACTGAAACATCCTCATGCTCTAATACATTATATAACAAAGATGTAGAGGCAGTATACAGATGGCAAGTTGTTCTGGGGGGAAAAAATCAGGAACAAAGTTATCAAGAATGTAGTATAATTGCAGAACAGAAATTTTCCTCTAAAAACTCAACTTTAATATATCTGATTTAATCAAGTGGGGTAACCCACCACACAAAAGCAGCATCAATTTTTCTTTAAGACGTTTGGATTTATCTTCCAACTAAATCCACTGGGGTATTTTTCTCCACTTTTGAAGATTAGTATCCTCATTTCATATCATTTTGACTGCTAGCCACTAGTCTAATCAATAATAAAGAATGTTTAGTCATAATAAAGAATGTTACCAAATTATGAGGGGGGAAAAAAACCAGGAAATTGGTACAGTATGATTACTCATCTATTCAGCACAGGTTAATCAAACATTGCTTGGGACCCAGTTATTCCTAAACTATATAAAAATCCTTAATTTGGTAAGCAAATGTGGGGATAATCAGTAACATTTCACTCCCACCCCCTAATAAATTTAATAATTATGACATGTAACTTATAGAATGACCTGGTCATTTTGAGCAAGGTTCCCTTAAACTTCAATGAAACAGGGGGAGGGGAGTGACAACCTACTAGAACAAAAATTTCCCTTCCAACATTACACATACAGGTAGTACAAAAATTCCTACAGGCACATAGTCTACCTTTCTTTTGGCAATCAGAATCCACAGACTCATGCTAACAAAACAGACCTCACAATCAACTTGTCCTGAAATTAGTATAAGCACATTAGATTTTTTCAGTACATAACTGACTATACAATGTCTCAGACTTCATTTTTCATTTATGGTAGTAGGAATTACAGAGACAGAAAAAAATTCAGAAATGAGCAAATCTTCTACTTCAGCATGACTTGGTAGTATGGACAACATACCTTATTCATGACACCTTAACATATATTCTGCTCTATGTGATCTATGAGAATAATTGGTCTCCCCTTACTTTGGTATGGAAAAATTTAAACCACATTTTTGCACAATTCAGTCTATTTTTTGCTTCATTTAAGATGAAGATTTACTCTCATCCATCTCTGGGAAAATAAAGTCTTGCAAACAGATGATATTTCTGTTAAGTAAAATTTGGCTAAAAATCTACGGCGTAAACAATGCCTGAGAGATGCAACAGTTATATAATTTTTTCCAAAGACCAGTATTTTAAGTTAAGTATCTCACCATATCCTTAAATTCATAAGGAAAAATAAACAAACATGAAAATTCCAAGTGAACACACAGCAAAAAGTCCAATATTTAGTATTATTTTAACTTTTGGAGTCTCTTCTAACATTTGTAAACAAACAGCCTCCTCCTCCATCAGGTCTCTGAGACTCCTCTTGCTCAGACTCTTACTTTTAAAGCCACAAAACCAGTCTATGAACTTCCAGTACCGGCTTCCATTCTCTGTTTCTTTCTTTCTTTCTTTCTCACCCATAAGAGCTGCTTGCCCATTGGAATAAGCATCTACCGGTGTTTCTGCTTCTGAATGACCCAAGGAAGCCACTGCGTTGCCCTCTTCTCTGCAGGTCACCAGCAGATTAACATCTTCAGGCTGTAAGCCCTTTATGCTATCTTCAGATTTCCCATTGGGAATGACATGATTAATGGCCTCACTGTTCTCGTTGCATCTGAGAATGCTCTTCTCTTGCATTTTGTATAGTTCATCTTTCTGAGAGCAACTCTCCTTCGCCACCACATTCTTCTTAGACCAAAAGGTGGTGGTACGAATCTGTTCCTTCGTAGGAGGTGGTGTGAGGAGGCTAACAATTACAGTTATGAGTCCTGTGACCCAAAACAATGCTGTGGCCACATACATATAATGGACATCTTTGATGAAGCCCGGCCTATTATCAGGTTGGTCACACTCTGGGGCACGGTAGGTGAAGGCTAGGATCAAACGGACTGCTCCAAGAAGAAAGCCAGCCATTCCACCATAGAAAGCCCCTTGTTCATTGCAGCGCTTCCAGAAAATTGCCAGAAGGAACAGGGCTGCCACTGGGGGTGTCAGGTAATCTGCTACCTCCTGAATATAAAGGTACATCTGGCCTCCTTGCATCTCCACGATGATTGGCACCCATGCTATGCTGATCACCACCATAAAAGCCACAAATATCCTCCCAACAATCATTAGTTCCCGGGAGCTTGCACTTTTGCGTATGAGTTTGTACACATCAAGGGTGAATATGGTACTGGCACTGTTAAAGATAGAGTCCAAGTCACTCATCAGAGCTGCAATCATCACTGCCATCATCAATCCCCGAAGGCCCACAGGAACCAGTTTCATCACCAGGCGCGGGTAAGCAATATTGGAGCACCCAGCTCTGCTGCCACACACTTTCATGCAGTGCTCTGGGTTGATGCAAGCTATATCATCAACAAACAGTATCCTGGAAATCATTCCTGGAACAACTATGATAAACATTGGCAGAAGCTTCAAGAAGCCAGCCATAAGAGTAGAGCCTTTGGCATGCGCAATGTTTTTGGCTGCTAGGACCCTCTGCACGATGACTTGGTCAGCACACCAGTACCATACTGAGGCTGGGGTCTGCCCAAGAATGAATCCAGGCCACGGAACATCTTCATCTGTTGGATCCCGCAACATTTTTAGGGCATCTTCCGTAGGGTCGACATTACAAGAATTTGTGTTTGAAAGGTTGTACGTCAACAAGATGGAAGACACATTGGGTGAGGCCAACATGTACCTTCTCTTAACTTCCTCAAACCCGCCAATCTCCATCATGCTAATAACCATAAGTGTGAGTGCCCCAATAATCATGAGCAGAGCCTGCAGAGTGTCTGTGTAGATCACTGCAACAAGGCCTCCAGTGACAGTCAGTAAAGCAGTCATGCCAATGAGAAGGATGACAGACACATAAAGGTTCCAACCCAAAGACTCCTGGATAAAGAGGGCACCCGAATACAGATCCACAGAGAGTTTGGTGAAGATATAAAGAATCAGAGACAAGGCTGCAAAATAAACCTGAATCCTATGGCCACCAAATCGCTTGGACAAGTATTCGGGCATGGTGTACACCCCTGATCGGATGTAAATTGGGATAAAAACCCATCCCAGAAGTTGCAAAAGCAGTAAGGCATTGAATTCCCATGCGCCCACAGCAAATCCACTTGCAGCTCCAGATCCTGCCAGCCCAATGAAGTGCTCACTCCCAATATTGCTCACAAACAGAGAGGCACCAATAGCCACCCAGGTCATAGAGCGCCCCGCCAAGAAGTATCCACTCACGGTGCTTCTATTAGATTTCCACATGGCAAAAAAACCAATGCACATGACCAGGATAAAATACAGGGCCACTATGGCAATGTCTGCTGTCTCCAGTACAGCCCTCATTCTGGTAACTTCTGAATAAATGTTCAAATGACAGAAGTGTCCAACTTTTCTTACTTATTAGTAACCCCAGTCAAGTCTGTAAACCATACGTGAACTGGACTACACAGAGCAACACAGCAGGTCAAAGTCTTTGTCCTTTGGTTTGCTGTCTTGATGGTGGTGATAAACTTTGAAGGAGACAGTTAAATTTTCCTCCGCTTCTTAATTGGGATTGAGAACTTAGCTCGTACTCTTAATCCACTCTCCACAAGACCATCAGCATTTACTCAGGTGCTGGAGGAGAAATTCTGAGTTGCAGCTAAGTCTAGTGAAGCCTACTGTACCAACCCTGCAAGGCAGCAAAGACAAAAGACAAAGATTGAATTAGAGAAGGGTCTCACCAAGCGATGAGGAAACTTTCAGTCAAACAAACACGGCGCAACAGACATTATAAAAAGAAAAAAAAAACTTTTAAAATACACTTCAGTTCCACAGCAAAGACTAATCTATACTATTGCAGCTGATATGTAAAACTCAGGGAGCATTTTAGGTATCATTCTAAACTAAAAATTCATCAACTTCAAAACTAAGTTATGTAACTTTCTTGAGCAATTAACTGGCAATCATAACAGTGTCCTTTCTTGTCTTGCTGTGGCAGTCTCGGTTTAGACCAGGCATTGAGATCTTAAATACCCTACAGGAGGTGAGTTATTCATAAGGGCATCTAAACACATCTGCAAGTACTAAGAATCCTAAGAGTATTTGAGGTTAACTTTATGGCCATTAGGGTTCTAGATGGAACAAATAACGGATGTGTTCACTAGGTGTTAGCATCTATCCCGGATCCTTCACACACAGAATACTGTTCCATCTATACAAACACACTGCTAGAAAACTATTCTAAATTCCTACTATAAATGTATGTAGTTATTACACAGTAACCTAAAACTTACAAAATGCCTAATGGGAAACAAGTTCTTCCGCACAAAAAACTATAGAGACATACAGAACCACCCTAAGATTTCTGTTAGTGAGGAGGTGTCAAAAGAAGAGAAACATAAAACTTTAAAAGAGGTAATTTCCTTCTCTTTCTTCAGGCATTATTTCCAAGGAACCTCTGATAAAAGTACTGACTCAGGTGTAATTTTGTTGAGCGTTTTTTCCTTCTAGTATCTTTTTATTCAAATGATATACAAAGTAGGGAGGGGATGAAGTAGTTTTCTGGAGTATTTTATCTTCCAAACCTGAATAAAACAGACATTTTGCAAACCATTAAATAAATGATCTTCAGTAAGTCCATGATTTTCAGTCGGGGGTTAAAATAATAATTCTGCAAAACATATTTAAATTTTCCTAAAATCATTTTAAGGAATTTGATGGTTTTTCTGCTGAAGAGACAAACTCTAATTGTTAGAAATTAATTATAATTGCACCTGACAAGCAAGTCAAGAAAAACATTCAACCTAATGCCTCCACATGTTATTCTAAGTAATTTCTCCTTCGCACTAACACAATTTCAAATGTCTTTCCATTCTTGAAAAATCTGCTTTCTGGTGAATGTGGTATCTTCTTTTTTAAATAAACAGTAAATGTAAATCCCACAAATGATAACTAAGGATACTTCTTCTCAACTGTTCAAATAGACCACAGTGCTAAAAATTTATAAACACAATTCTCACTGGCAATAAGTTAGACATAATGCCTCAAGACTAACGCTCTATCAAATTAGGTTATTAGGCCTAATTCATAAGCTGCCTAGATAAAAATGTCAATCCCATCTTTGTCCCTTTCATAAACACAAAGCACTATAATAATTACACTATGAAAAGTGATTAAAATTCTGCTTACTCAAAGTCAAGAGTCAATGGCTGGCATCAATAAAATTGCCAAAGGCAAAAAATATACTTAAGTTAGAATTTGTCACATTATACTTGACAGATCCTGAATTTAGTCATATCTTATTACCACCTACCCACATCCAAAAGCTTTTAAGTTTTTAAAGAAATACTTTGAAATTATTCACAAATAACCACCTAATATTTTAATGAGATCTCACATGACTAATAAACCTGTTATTTAAAAGTATACCTTTAAATGTATCTGTGCAAGGGATCGTCCCTTACTCAAAGTGTTGTTGGGAGATAGGAAATTCTGCCTTCAAAGGAGACCTCCTGGCCCCCCAACATCCAAGTCATATCCATGTCACTTGTTCAGCTTAAACAACCCTAGCTCAAAGGACGTTAGACCACCTCTCAGGTATTACTCTTCTCAATGGGAGTGACTGACCATGTGCTCCCTGAAGAAGGGAGAGAAAAAAATACCTAATGCCTTTTGATTTTATTTAGAGGATGGAGGTTTCATTTGTGTATTTATTCAAAGACAAAATGCTCAAAAGCAAAATAAATATTTCCTTTCTCCATCACTATAAAGCAGTAATAATATCAGTAACACTGTTTTTGCAATCCATGTTCTGCCCCCTGTGAAATGCTCACTGACATCCTTATGCAAGTCCTGACTTCCAACTTCCCTAGATTATGTCCCACCCACAGAGCCAATAGCTAAACCCTAACTCAAGGCTAAATTCAACATTTTCTGTCTCTACCTCTTCAGACCCTTCAAAAGCTACTGTTGACAGTTCACTCACTAGAGAGTGAATCAGTTTGTGGGTAGGATTTTTCTTTTTTCATCATTTACCTTTTTTGGGGAGTGGGGAGGTTTTCAGACTTTCCCAATTTAAACAAAATACACACAGAAACCAACACCTGCTAAAAAGTGGTATAAAGAAAAACAAAACCAAAGAGGTCAATTTAGTTTGCAGAAAGATATAAAATACTATGAATACAACACAGGTAAATGTCATATTCTTGTCATGAATAAAGATTATGAAACCCTTAAATTTCAGCCTTTGAGGGGTTGGAAGTAAAAGCTTAGTGCGATTTTTTTTCTTTTTAAAAGAATAAATATTTCTTCAAAAAAAAAAAATACAATACTTTCCAGAGTTCCTTTATTCTTAGGAAAAATACACATGGAAAAACCTTTGCTTCAGCTAATGTGAAGTATTTTATTCTTTTGTCTTTTCTTTATGCCTTTTTTTCATGGCTCATAGTTCAGATAAAGGTCTTAAATGAGAAAATGGGACAAATAATCAAATAGCTATAATAATGAAAGCATGTGGGTTGGTTCCTTGGAGTGCATTTAAAAATTACTTCAACAGTAAAAGTAATACATATTTGTAGACTGTATAAAGATATGGTCCCCTAGTGATGATGGGTAGTCAAACTTCAAACATGAAGGTATTTTGAAACCACAGATTCCCCCCAAAAAAGGACTGTCTTTTTAGAAGTAATATTTTAAGTTTTACAGAAAATTAGTATGCAACTAACACTGTCATATATCTCAGTGAATTAAATCACAACTGAAGAATTGAGAGAACTATACATAAAAATCTATTGTGCTTGACCAACTAGATGGATCAAATTTAAATTTGCTATTAAAACTCCTTCAGGTGATATAAAACATGCTTACCAAAACAGAATTGGTTATAATGATCAAATCTCTCTTCTACCATCTAGGGCAGTGATGGTGAAACTTTTACAGCTGTCAATTAAAACAGCCAGCTTGATGCGGCATGAGTGCCATAGGTAAAGGGTAACCTCTACCAAGCACAGAATTATTCTGATAAATCTGTAAAATCCAGGTTGTATAGTCACTCTATCTAAAAATAAAAATTAACTATCATAAAAGTCCAACAGGGAAAAATGAACCGTAAACTCAATCAGGGCTCCAAATCACAAGTACAATGACATATGTGAACTAATAAAGAGTAGAATTTGGTGCCCCTAGAAGTAACCAAACGTCTTTAGCTTTGGGGTCAGTTTATAAATACACACTCCAGGGGCAAAGTGGGACCACTGTGCAAAGTAGACCTGGTGAGTGCTGCTGCATGTACACTGAATGAAGATCATTCACATAGTGAGTTAAGGTTATGTAACACATAGACTTCCAAAAGCATGAGCGCCTAAACCTACTACAAAGAAAACATGAGTATACCAGAGGCCTGCTTTCTCACTACCACCAGATTTCATGACTTTGTAAAGGTGACAGGTATAAACGACAACCAGGGACATGCAGATGGCATGGTACAGCAGAAAGCAGGCAACTTTGAAGAGCTAGGTTTCAAGCTCTGCCACTTCCTAACTGTAGGACCTCAGGCAAACAACTTATCAATATGAACTTCAACTGTCTCATCTATAAAACACAACCAGTGCTTAGCTCCGAATGCCATAGTAAGAAATAAGATACAGAAAGTGGACAGTATTGCCCAGAACAACAGGCCAATGGTTCAATAAATGTCTCCACAGCCTTAACAGATTAGTGATATTACCAGCCCTTTCAAAGTAAATGTCAACTATGTGCAAGGCATATTCAAATCTTCAAACTTACTTAAGTAAGAGAATAGATTAAAAAATAAATTATACATTAAATATGCTGTTCTCTCACAAATATTTTAATCAGGCCCCCATATACTCATCAGCTCATAGCGCCTACTTAACAACATTTCAAGTAAAATATAAAACATTTTTCATTTATGTCATTTCAAATCAAACTCCAGCAAAGGAAATGTCATGAATGGAACAGTAAATGGCACTTGGTACTGAGCTGTTCTCAATTCTGCTTACCTCAAAGATGTGACAATATGATAGGACTTATCAGTGACAGGTACAAGTAAAAGTGAGTTTTTTTAATAAAACTGACATCAACTCAAATCAATTTTAAAACACCAAATGGAGTTGAAGACATTTATAGGTAAATGTACAATATAGTACCCCTAAACATTTAAGGGACTTTAAGCCTCTAAAAAAACATTTCTATCACACCCATTAACTTTTGACTATTTAGAATTATTTCTTCTTTCTGCAACACTATGCACAGAACCCAGGACCTTCACACTACATCCCTAGCCTACTCACATTTCTCTTTTTGGAAATAGTCCCACTATGCCCCCTAAGTCTGCCGGGCTAGGGTTGAACATGCATTCCTCCTGCCTCTGCCAGAGTGCTGGGATTACAGGTGTGCACCAACATGCCCAGCTGGCTACTCAGGTTTTTTAAAGTAAATTATGTATAAAAATCCTGATTGGACTCAAAATACTGTTCCAACTGTATTCTGGGGACTTTTAGTTCCTCATGTAGCATACTGGGTAGAAAGGGAGGCACAACCTCTCACAACCACTTATGAAACAAAATAGCTCTACTTTGATCAGTATGGGTGTGAACAATATCCCATGCAAATAAATCATTTATTCAAATGATGACATCTTATTTGCCTAGAAAGTTCAAAAACCACCAG